GGTGAAGGCTATGTTTGCATGAATAGTCTTGTAAAAGTTTGTTTGGCAGCAACATGCCTTCGGTGATTATGTGTTGAAAATTCATTTTCCTCTCTGGTCTTTGTGTGTAGAAAGGAAAGAAAAATCAATTGTAACCTATTAATATGTGTGTCTGTGAGTTTGAATTAAACCTGTTTGCTACTTTTGTCTTCATGTACACACAGTGTAGAATTTTTTAGGCAGACAAATAATGAATGCATGCATTTGAAGGAAACACTCATACGGAGAGGGGTACAGTTAAACTAGCAGACAGGCACAATCAGTGCTGTAACACTGAGGTACTTTATGGTCTTGTGCACGGCCACTGAAAATTATTGAAACCCATAGGAAGCCTGTGTTTAATGAACCCGGGTGGGTTCCAAGTCCTAGATAACTGTAAAACCTTGCAGTCAGAGTCGCAAGTGTGGTACTGAGAAAGCCAAACTCCTTGCTATTGCAAAATTGTGTCTGCCTCATAGAGTAAATTACATGCTAATCTTCTATTAGTTTATTTATAAACCTGGTCCACTTAAAGTAGCTTCTGAGGTTTAGAGAATTTGCTTAAGTTATAATGTTAAATGTTATTAAGCGACAACGTATTCATTCTTCTGCAGCTATTATCACCACCTTGCATAATGAACTCAATCAAAAAACTGAGGCAGGTACTGTAAACAATGCTCCTGATGCCTTTGTTAAACAACAGTGCATCCATTTGGCCAGATGTTCTGGGGATCAGTTTTGATCTGGTTGCCTGCACTTGTAAGTTTTTACAGAGCATGATTCTGAACATCTGTACTTGAGAAAGCTGGAGCCACCACATTGTGGCAGCATCTGGATGATGTGAATGGCTCTAGCGTGGATTTTGTTTTGGAAGAAATTGCTTATTTAGATGATGTGCCATGCATGATGACATGACAGACTGAGGTAAACACAGATGAACGTCTTAAGCTTTGCAATCTAATATTAAAATAACAAGTTAATCAGTTTGGAGCATCTGCATGGGTGATACGGTAATTGAGCACTGAAATTCACAGTGAACCGAAAAAGATGAGCATGACGTTTGGTATTACCTCTCAGTCTGCAAACGAGGTTGGTAAAGAACTTTTGCATTGAAGACAAATGCATGGAACGAAGAACAAAAAAATAAGACATCTATGGTAAAGTGGGAAATACTGAGAAGTCTTGTAGATGCTTTAGATGCTTTGTGATCTGGTTCTTTCCTTTGGCTCCTTTAATGACGTGCATGAATTTCTTTTGACTGAATTTCTATTGATCTTTTCATATACTTCATAGACTTCCTGTATCTGGTACAGGCATCTCATATTGATAGATTTACTACTGTTACATCCATTTGGGTGGAAGAGGAAAGAAAAAAACAGATGACTCTTCTACTGTCAGAAAATGTAGAGAAAGGCCATGCACGACAAGAAAAGATAAGAAGATTAGTTGTTCTTCATCAGAGAAACCATGGATGCCCCATCCCTGGGAGTGTTCAAGGCCAGGCTGGATGAGGCTTTGAGCAACCTGGTCTAGTGGAAGGTGTCCCTGCCCATGGCAGGGGGGTTGGAACTAGATGAACTTTAAAGGTCCCTTCCAACACAAACCATTCTGTGATGCCCTGATTTACAGAAATTTGCTTTAAATTTCTCTGCACAGAGGTGGCATTATGAAAATCTCTATTTGAATCCTTTAAGAACAAAACCAGTCATAGAGAGTGTTCTGGATCTGTTTGTCGAAGTAAGGCAGCTTAACTTGTTCTACACTCCAAACAACAAATTAAGTGTCACAGGACTATAGTGGTGGGCAGGAATCACAGAACGGTTAGGGTTGGAAGGGACCTTAAAGCCCATCTAGTTCCACCCCTCCTGCCATGGGCAGGGACACCTTCCACTAGATGCCTCTGAATTAATACCTGTAAATTAATATATTCATATTAAAGGAGGTTTCCTCTAATTTCTTTACCTGTCTTCTTCCAATAATGTGTGCAAGAGGTGCTCACGTATCTCTGCTGAAGGTTAAAGGTTATGTCAGGGATAGCTGCTATGCCCGTTGCACCTGTGCTCCCATCAGCTCCCCTCTAGGGTGGAATTTACATCCCATTGCAGTTACGTCAGCAGAGAACTTGACCTCCAGTGTGTCTCTTGCCACCTGTTTAAGATATAAAGTCACAGCAGCGACAAGGTCAGGGATTCTCAACTGCTAATGAATATGTAATGTACAATCTAATAAAAGCCCTACCCCGTCAGCGATTTTCGGGCAGGAGGTATTACAGATCTCTTAGGAGAGGAGCCAATCATAGCAACTCAAAGTATGCCAGAGGAAAAGCTTATATCAAGGAATCTTTAGTGTCTGTTTGTTAAGGCAGGCAGCACAAATGTTTTTAAGTGCAATGCAATTGTCTTTAGGGGAAAGTGCAAAGCTGTGAAGGATTCCAGACCATATGGGAGCAGCAGAGTAGGAAATAGCCATCTGTGATGGAAACAGCTTGTGTAATTCAAAACAAGAAATAGGGCAAAGTGAGGCAGGAAGGGTGAGAGTAGGTGTAGAAGTCTGCTTTTTCATGCACTGTCTTCAGGGGTATGTCGTAAATTTAAGCCAGATACAGGACTGGAAGCAAATGGAGGAGCTAGATAGTTGCAGGTCTGCTTGGATTAAGGTCCTCGGGAGAGGAACGGTGTGCGCTGAGGCAGTGCCTGGCAGGGTGGCCGCCTGCCCAGGCAATGTGGAGCTTTGCAGTAGACAGAAGGTAAAATTGATGCACACAGGAAGAATTACAGAAAATAGAAAACAGGTTGTAAAGGGTGTCGTGTCTGGCTCATGGCTGTGTTTAGGGGATGGTAATGAGGAACACAGTGAGGAAATGAGGAACAGGTGCTCCAAGTTGCCAGTCCATCTGACAACTGCTCGTGCACTCCAGGGGGAAGAGCACCAAAGAAAGCTGTTGGCAGGATGTGGCTGAACCTACTTGCTTAAGGTGTCTAACTTTATTTAACAGATTGGCTGAAGTGATAAATACAGGTGAATTTTCCTTTGCTGAATAGATTTTTAGCAGTGACACTACGAGATGAGACTAAGGAGAAGGACCGAGGGCTGAGAATTTCTTGTTTTCAGAGGTGATTATAAATGATCCATGGCAAATAGCAACCCAGAGGGCCTGGCAGGTAGGAATAAGCTGTAACTGCCTCTAGTGCTTGTTTTCCTCCAACAGGGAGAATTGAGTAGATAAAAAAAGTATGTCTGGGAAGCCAAAGGTAACAGAGACACCCCTAACAGTACCTCAGCCACTTACACTGTTCCCTATGTTGTAATGAAAACAATTGTTTTCCATAGCAACTGCAGCAACATGCTACATGTGTCTCCACTCAGTGGTGTGAAATGGCAGAATGGAAGGGGAATAAAGTGTTTCTCAACAACAGCCAGATTTTCCAGCTTAATTCTTCTAACATTTCCATGGAACAAGTGCTTGTTGTTGGGGTTTTTGCTTTGATTACATCATGGGAGGAGTGAAGGGGCAGCTGAGAAATTTCTGTGTCGTTTTGCGATGTAGGATTTTTGCAGCTACAGAGAGAAAAGGAAAGAAACACATAAAGATCTAGCTGAGAAAGTGTTCTCAGACATGCTCTGGAGAGGATTTTTGACTCTGTCAGTCCATAGCTACATCTGCTCTCTGATCTGAATCTTCACCTTTTTTTGATGGAACATGTTCAAAGGCATTTATTCACTCTGACCCTGAATATGGTGATTTCATTTCCACACGTGAAGTCAGAGAAAGCCTGCTCTATGATCCACGACTAGTTTACAGCTTTTTTTTTTCATATGGATGGTCCCAATAACTTTTCTGGCTGTGAAATAGAAGGTAGAGAGACTCAGAGGTCTGTTGAAGGATCCTTTCAGGAAATGTATGCTGAGAGAGAATAGAAGTCCAGTAGCCTTGTTGTGTTCACTCCAGATATTTCCTAAGAAAAATCAGCAAGTCAGGCTGTCAAGCCTCGTTCCTAGTCAGTGTGTGCCTGAAGGCTCCTTAGTTCAATGTCACAAGCTGATGAGGTAAGGATCATTTACCAAGATTCAGTTTTCAGTGACTCTGAAGTACCCCACTGCACTGGTGTCATCAATCACCTGCTGATGCACTGCTTTGTGATGGAATTTGATTCTTTGCAATTAGAGAGGAAAAATTGTTGGTGGTTTCTCAATTGCAAGTGGGATATGGTTGACTGTGTGTCTGCTGCGTGCCAGATTTAGGAGTAATTGCCACAGTAGCCTGGGTGACTTTTGATCGAATAGGTGTTTTTCAAATTCATCAAGTTTTCAGGATCCCACATCTCAGTGTTATTTTCGACAGTGCTCTCTCTGTAGAGGTGTGACAGTTCTCCTGAATTTCAGTTTGCAGGACACTGTCATTAAACATCGGGACTTTGGGAGCATGGGGAATCATGACAATTCATTCAACAGTTTAGCTTTGATGTTGCATCTGGATTGAACTGTGGCTGTTGGCAACAGCTCCAAGCCAAGGATTTCTGGTGGTCCTGCTTAGAAGGACTGAATTCAGTTCTGTATTCCTAATGGAAATCCAGTGATGGAACAGCTGGAAAGTGATAACGTGTGTGCTGTGCTCCTCTCGACAGTTGTGTCTGCTGAGCTGCTGATACCTCTAGCTGTTTGTGAACTAACGTTTTGATAAAAAAGACCAGCAGGACTCTCCTGGATTGTACTTTGTATGGCTCCTTGCAGTGTCTCTGGCAGGTGTTGTTTGATTTTGTTCATTGTTGTTGTCAGTCTTTTACATTGATTTAGAAAACCTCTTTCCCCTCTCACAGCACTCCTTCCCCTACCAAAAAAAGGCCCACTTGCCTCACAAGATTGTGAAATTGGCCAGAATGCTTGCATTTGTGTTGACTTTTTTTTCCTAAATTCAGTTATGCAGATTTCTTCACTTAACATCAAAATTACCAATATTAATAGCTTCCGGTTGCTCTGAAAAGTTAATTTTTGTTTTTCAGCCTACAAGAACATCATCAGAAAGTATTTATTCCAGACCAGGCTCCAGTATACCTGGCTCTCCAGGCCACACTATCTATGTAAGTATTCCTTCTGATGAACAAGCTACTGATCTCTTGTTTCATACAAAGTACTCCACGCTGAAATAAATCACTTTGATACTGACGTAATGCCTTTATTCTAGTGGTTAAATTGTTAAAATTCTTGACGTAGTTTTTGTAACTGTAGAATTTCAAGAGCAAACTAGGCCTTTTCCGGGTCACATTCTTAGAAAAATAGAGTAGATGTCTTGAGGTCATTTGGTGATGTGAAGGCAGACAGGTCACTTGACTTCGGTCAGGGTATGTGTGGAATCTGTGCACCTCGACCTGCAGTTCTTGAGAGATCTGCTGTCTACAGTTGCAGGACGTGAGGAGGAGCATCAGCCACACTAAAAGAAGCCTGGCTGGTACAACACCTTCCGTTTCAGAAGTCAGACCTTTTGGTTGTGGAAGGCAAGGTGTTTTTTATTTAAGAACAAAAACATGTCAGGCATCCTTCCAGCAACTAGCGGTGCTGAAAATGCAAAGCTATTGACATACTGCTTTATTCGTGGTTACTAATATAATTCCTTCAGTAATCAAGCCTGCTCTTTCATTATTTTAGATGATCTCTTTCACTTCTTGGCCTTGTTATTGGTACCTTTTGAGCCCATGATATCTTAGAAATTAAAAGTGGAAATACATTAGCAAAGGATTGGACCAAAATTTTCAAAGGAATGACGTTTTTCTCTACTTTCATACCACTTTTTAACGTATTTGAGTGTTGTAATTGTCAGTATTTTTTTTTTTCTTGACAGAGAAATCCATAGAGTCAAAAAAGTAATCTTTTGTGGCGGTACTATTTCAGTTCTAAGGAGAAAGAATATCAACTCAAATGTACTTTGGGGAATAACAGAACAGCTCAGCCTTCTCAAACCTTTTGTATTTCCATGCATATAACCTATGCTTCCAAAATTTCACATCCATTGAAGAGTCCCATTCCATTAAAGTCCACGTAACCCTTGTTCTCATATAAAACATGCTCTCAGATAACCTGCACAAAATCCAAGGCAGAAGTGAAAGGTAACAGCTAAGGTAGAAAATCAGAGGAAGGCGAGTTAGTGAGAGTCTGTTATGAGGGGACCAAAGATGAAGGTGTGCTGGGAAAGGAGAGGCAAACTACAGGGCAAACTTTCTTTTCTGTTACCTATGCATGATGCTGAATCACTGAGTTTATGGATAACCTTAAATTATATAGGTGATAATGTAGTATAAGACAAAAATACGTTTCATGTATAATACTGCAGAAAACAGTCCCGAGTTTGAGTTAAATACTAGTTGTCCCGTGCATTTCAACAACAGAAATTAACTGATACATAAAAAGTGTTCACACTACAGATACCAAAACACAGAGCATGTCCTGGAGAACTGCCGTTTTGCTGGTAATATCAGCTTCGTAAGGTGTAGTTTATGAAATTTAACTGCTGCTCAACAGCAGTCTGTAGGGCAACATGGTGGCCTAGACTGGGTCTAGAAAAATACCTATGGTCATTTATATTGGAGTAAGAATATCCAGGCATATTTTCAGGTCATTAACACATTGTGCTAAAAGTAGTATAGAAATAGCATACATTGATCTACCTACATATTTTAAGGATTAAATTGGATTAAGGTATTTTGTTATGTCTGGTGATCCAAAACTAAGAAGATTTGAGGCAATTTTAAAAAGTGAATTCAAACCTTGCATCTCTGTCAAAAACTGGTTTGTATTGTTTCCAGTTCATGGCATTTCTTAAGAGCCCACCAAGACCAGTGGTCGTTAGGAGAGCTTGAAAAGGCAAATGCACATAAATCTGAAAATAGAGGTGCTAGTTCTCAGCAAGAGTATAACTGAATCTGTGTAGAAACAGATCAACTTTGTTTCCTTGTGCAGCCTACTACGAATAACTAAAACACCTAGTAGAAAAGTTGAAAACCAATTTGAATATTCTCTTTCAGTTTTAATCATCCAACATATTTCTGTAAGGTGGATAAGAGTTGATGGATTTTTTTTTTAACAAGACTTTTTTTTTTAAAATAAGGAAAGGTATTAGCTGTCTGAACTATATGTAAGCCCACTTTCTAGTTCCTTCCACAGCTGCCGTAGGAAATCAGTACCAAATTCCATTTTGTAACTAGTCAAGAGCTTCTTGCAGTTTTAGTGGAAAAAACAGTCAGTGTTATGCTGTGTAGTATGCAGTTAGGAAGCAACATACGCCTTAGAAGTTTGCGTACAGGTGGAGTAATGAGTGCAATATAATAATTTCAAGTGGGAATTTGGGTACCCAGTCCTGACAAATAGTCCCCCTTGCCTTTTTATTTCCTCTCGTGTCCACAGTTTCAAGTTGGCTTTCTGTCTGTGGTCTTCTGCATGGAATCCTCTCATAACCTCCTTAATCTGCAAACTGTGTTGATGTTACCACACGTATTTACACATGGGAAAACAAGAGCAGAAAGGTGAAAATACTTGCCTGAGTCATTTGCAGAGCTGAAGTTTCCAGCTCACTGCTGGGGATAAGAAACTTTTGTATTAGATCTATATATGCCATGCTCTTTCTTTCCTAAACTGAGAAAACACTGTGTGCTTTTGCAGAGGAGGCCTGTTGGAGAAGAACAAGAAGTAATCACTTCGCTTGTTAAGTGCCAAAAAGGGTTTGCCATAGCAACAGTGTGACAACAAACACAGAAAAATCATAAACTGTGTGCAACAGAAATTACTAGTGCATTTGTGTAAGTTAATTTATCTTCTGTCTTTGACCTTCAGGCAAAAGTAGACAATGAGATCCTTGATTACAAGGATTTAGCAGCCATTCCCAAAGTCAAGGCCATTTATGACATTGAACGTCCAGACCTAATTACTTATGAGCCATTCTACACTTCCGCCTACGAGGACAGACAGGAGAGACAGAGTCTTGGAGAGGTAATGAACCGACAAGCAACCCATTCTGCTATGAGCTTTGTTCAGAGCCTGCTTCGATCCTGTCCTCTTTTGAAACAGTTCCTAATTGACACGCCTTGGTATTGTTGCTGCTGCTGTTCAGAGTGCTTTCTGTCTGTTTGATCTGGGTTTAATGGGAACAATCACAGTGATGCCTCGTGTGCGAAACTGCAGGATTAAACACACAGTTGAACACCTACGTCAACACCAGCCACTGGCAGAGAAATGGCAGGGGGGAGGTTTGCAGCCTGTCCGCACGTGCGTTCTTGTAACTCACAGGGATGTCCTAGCCTTTGGGCACAGCAAAGTCCAGAATGTGAGGCAAAAGCCACTATTCACAACAGAATATGAGGAATTCCACGGCACTGAGAGGATTAAGTGCAGCAGAACGCATTCGGTCACATATATTGAAGGGGAATACATTTCCAGAGCACTTTGCCAGACATACTGGGTAAGATCTGAACTAGGTCAGGATAAAGTGCTCTTCCGCCTGGGAAAGCACGTTAGTAGTGTTATGGAAATAGCTACCTCTCATTTTAAACTGCTGACATTTGGTAAGGATTCTTGCATCTTGCAGTGATAGGGGTTTTTTTCTATCTAATTTATTCTCCTAAATTTGTATTTTAAAATAGCTTTTGGTTGTAGCACCCCCCCCAGTTTTTCAGATGAACTTCCACAGCTGCAATTACTATTTACATGGTTCTAAGTGCGTATTGTGAAGCGGTTTTTGTCCTCTAATACCATTTGACTGTAAGTCAGACTTCCTGAATGCAAATCTAAATAGACATGGAAATGGATTTACTTCCTTGCAATCTCAGACAGTAACTTCATTGAGTATGAAGATAAGCTGGGGAAAAAGGAAGTATGGTAAACTATTCAGGCACCAGTGGTCTGAAGATTCCCAGATCAGTGACTGAATCTGCTCTCTTAGCAAAGGGTTCAGCCCACCAACAGACCAGAGCTGTCTTGGGTTTTCTACTTTGTTCTTCAGTGTTTTATAGGGTTAGTCTCTTAAATTGTGACATGAGTTGGAAATTCAGGAGACTGTTCAGCGCAGAAATAAGAGATTAATAGGGCAGAATATTACAGAATATCCCTCCTCACGTTTGTGTTAGTAGTGGATCCAGCTGACATCTGGTTCAGAACCACCATGAGATGCATTGGTGACCTCTCAACAGTGCCAGCGGGCCTGACCTATTCCACAGAGCCCTCTACAAACACAAGTCTCCTGTTAGCCACAGCAGAGCAACTAGTATAGCTCAGAGAAGGTGAACTGTTTGTTAATCCTGAAGAGGAAGCTTCTCACTCACAAAGCAGTATGGTGGCAGCCATCTGCCATTACGCTGTTTCTGGGAATAAGCAGAAGCCTTTGGAGTTTTCTTACGCTGTATTTTCACCAGCATTAAATCCAATTAAGTTCTGGTGACTACAAAAGTTTGTTCTGGAAACATAAGGGCTCTCACCTTTTCAGAAGATCTGGGTTTTCCACCCACTGCTACTGCTGACTTCTGTCACCTTGGGCAAGTTACCTCACCTCTTTGTACCTGTTTCTCCTCCCTTCTCCTGCCCTGATGAGAACACAAGCCCATCAGGCGTGGAGTGATCTCTTGCTCTGTGTTTGTGTTGTGGTAAACAAGTGACACCTCAGTCTTGGTACCTTATACATCAGTCGCCATCATATTTAAAAAGCAAAGGAGGTGACATGTTTAATGTCATGGCAGGAATTTGCAGACTTTGAGTGATTTAACTCCTATTCTCTTTGCAAAGTGTGTGTATGTGGTGATGTTAAATAAAAGGGAAGCTTGAGCTTAAACTTCTACCCTAGAGATGCCCTTCATCATGATTTAAAAAAAATATATAAAATTTAAAATCACCAAATTTGGCAAAGAAAGATTTCTGGGTGTGCAGGGGAGATGTGCAAGAGACACAGAAATCAATCCAGCCCTGGAGACTAACCTTAACTGCAGGGAATGAGCTATGAGAAAATTGTATTCTGTAGGCATAGAAACGGAGAAGACACAGCATCATTCTTCTTTATTGCTGTGGAAGGGAATTGCGTTGAGAAGTTTCTCACTCGTAATCCCTGGTTCGATTAAATCCCAACCTCGTGTCTCTCTCTGAGGTGAGAAGTGTTTCCGTGTAGCACCATCTAGCGGGACCGGCGCCCGAGTTACGGGTGCCAGCGGTTAGCGGGGAGGTGAAAGGAGCTCGTGCAGGGGTTGATTGGAGAGGCGATACGACATGAGATCTGTAAATAAATTTTCTGCTACTGAGGCTGACACCTAATGTAGTGATAACCTTTCCAGAAACGGTCAGTTCCTCAGGTTCTTCATGTCCTGTCACTCGCGCCCTGCTAGCAGCAACCCGATCAGCACTGTAACCGAGTCTGTTCTCAGCTCTGGCTTTTGCTGCATAGGCATTGACAGAAGCAGCAGCGTTTCACCTGCGTGTCCGTTGAAAGCATCGCGTGTCTGTACCACCTTTCAGGAAACAAGCTGTCGTAAATTGAGAACAGTTCCTCAAAATGAGCTGTACGATTTCAGGTGTTACAGCCTCTTAGACCTCCAAGTGACAGAGCATTGAGCCTGCTGCAGGGAGAAGTTTTACTGTAAATTTGGTCAGAACAAGTTCTCCACCCAGACTATTTTTTTTTGGTCATCTGGAGTCATCACCCTCTATTTCCACTGGTTTTCTACTCTGAAACTGAGCTGTTTCTTCGCAGTCATCTACACAGTGTATTTCTAACTGACTGGTGTAAAGACTTCTGTGACAGACCAGGTTTTAAAAGACCCTGTAAACCCTGGAGAACCAAGCATTCCTTGGCAGACTCTGGGTTTGAGATACAGCAGTTCACCTGTGCACGACAAAACACTAAATTGGCTGCAGACGGTGGTTCCATGTCCCAAAAAGCAACAAGATGATGTCAGATAGTGTTGGAGTGAAAATACATAAAAGGTTCATCATGGTTTCAGCCCATTACTTTCTGGGATGCCTGTGACTACCTTTTACAGGTACAGAAATTTATTTATATGCAATAACCCATAAATTACAAATAGAAAAATGTGGGAACACAGGTCACAACATGTGCTTTTTTTCATTCATATTGAATGTTTTAGGTTAGTCCTCACTTGTTTTTGTGGAGATTGATGGTACAAAGCACGGTGTACAATATGCTTCATGTGGAGAAAAATTTTTATGGCTGCTGCTGTTAGATCTATCACGAAGTTATGGTTTGCTGTATAGAACTTGTGCAGTTACAAGGATTAGGAGAACAAGAATGTAAAAGACATTCAGGGTTTTGATGGAAAGTAACGAAAGCAGTCTTTAAAAAGCTTTGTGGAAAGTTGCTGAAAAGGAGATGTTCTGTACCCAAATAAGAAATGACACTCATTTGTTAGGACACTTTGGATTCACAGTGTCACCAGCTTCATGACAGTTAATGGTCTCTTAGTGCAAAATGTGTAGCTGGGTATTTATTACCAGAAATTCTGCATACGTTTTACATTACTGCTGTTGTATATTATTGTAACAGTTAGACCAGAAACGGCAGTTTTGCTTCGGAGACATTATCTTAATAGCTGTATCACTCTGTAATAATTGTGGTCTTATTTAAAAGCATAATCACTTGCCCAGTTTATTATGGCAATTAAATAATATAGCAGTTTAGTGCATAAAGAAAATAATTAAATCCTGATCTTCCAGCTTCAAATTGTCTTGTGATTAAAGGGCACATAACTGGTAATTATACATAGCCTTTATTCTTGTTCATACCGTCATCGTATGCATGACCTTATGCTTCATTTCTAAAGGTATTTCTTGCCTTAGTTTCCCTGTCTTCTGTAATAGAAACTTTTCATTATATTGTGCATATTTCTGCCCACCGGCCTTTGCGCCGTTCTTTCAATATGCATCCTTGTAATTCCTGTCTGTTCTCCCTACGTAACTGTGGAAAATTTAAAGGAGATCATATCAAAGAAACGGTGATGACAACTACGTACTCCTTTGCATGGGTATGAAATTTAAGGCCTTGGGGAGAAGCACATTTTTGCCAGAGTATGTGTGTTGGAGAAAAAACATGCTTCATCCTGGAAGTTATTCTGTATTTCTGATGCCATACAAAGCTCTGAGTTAAGATTATTTACTTTTGATTTCCACTTTAAAGATTTCTTTGTAACAGGCATGGTTATTAAATTAATAACCCTTTCTGATTTTGATCTTTACAGCTATGTTTTAATTACCACAGTGATTAATGGCTGAGAGATGATGCTGCATGATATTTGACTGAATTAATCACACTTATAAAGATTCTCCCAGAAACTTCAGTTGCTTCCATGATTTATGGACCAGTTCCTGAACAGTGTGGGAAAAGCAAGTTCCAGTGCTTCAATGGCCTCAGTAATTTTTACGTTGCCATATATCCATGTATCTGCAGCAATGTTTAGATTGCCATTTTCTGGCCCAGCACATGCAATGATATCTCGATAACCTTGTTTTTATGTCTTTGCAGTCTCCAAGGACATTATCACCTACCCCTTCTGCAGAAGTAAGTTTGATGGAACCTATGGGGGCAGTGTCTTACTGTGATTAGAATTACTCACCTCAGCAAATGCAGACGTCAATTTTGCTATCAGTCTGATCCAATTCTCTTTGCCACGTAGGCATGTTTTCTGAAGATTGAAACTTAACAAAAATTAACTCTGAAAAGAAAACATCAAGGTCGTGTAGAAAAAGTGTAGAAAGTGTAAAAGATTGCAGAAAAACTGAAGCTACAACTGCTAGCCCTTTGTTGTCCATAGAGCAGAGTAATTTCTCCAGCAGAGGCCACTTCTTGTACAGTCATCCTCCTTGTGCCACAGGCAGGCTCAGATCTCAGCAGCTGGATGATTTACAGGAGCTAAAATGCTGCTCTAAGCAGCTATATAATAAGCCATGTTTGCTACTAAAACATTTGCAGTTCTGTCTTGAAGGAAACATCACTTCTGTTTGGTTTGGTTTTTCTCCAGGAGTTAATTTGAACATCACAATAACATGAAACATTTCAGAAGTCATTTGTTGGGGTACAGTGGATGCCATTGCAGAAGCATTACAGTTTTGGGGGTGGGGAGTGTTGCTTATTTGCAATGTAAAAGTTATAGTGATTGCCACATGTTAAAAAAGTGACCATAAGATTTCTTGTAAATCTTCATGCATTAACATCAGTTCTGTCCTGGTTTGGTTTGCTCTGGGGGTTTTGAGGGGAAGGAGGGTGTTCGTTTGGGGGGTTGGTTTGTTTGTTTGGGGGTTTTATTGGCTTTTTCTTTTCCTAGGAAACCAAATAAATTGAATTTTGCTGTGCAAGGTGGTGTCGTGTTGTCAGACGCAAGGGGAATCTAGTGTGGATACTAAATACCTTTTGAGGTAGCTAGTCAGGACACATGGTAAATTCAGCCACAGAGCGCTCTGTGCTGCAGCTATGGACTGGAGTCTCTGGAACAGATGATTAGAGACGAGTAATAACGATGTAGGTTGAAAGCTTAGGGGATATTGTTATTTCAGTAGCTCCTCCTGATGTCTTCAGATCCCTAGAAGTTAAGTGCTGCTAAAAACGTGTCATGTGCATTTGCATTTATTAGTGAATGCTTCTATTCTGCAGGGTTATCCAGATGTTCGGGATCGCATGATTCACAGGTCTACTAGTCAGGGCTCCATTAATTCTCCAGTGTACAGTCGGCACAGCTACACACCCACCATGTCACGTTCCCCTCAGCACTTCCACAGACCTGGTAAGGCCAACTGCATTAGAAGTAAAACTGTTGTTTCTTTGTCACATCACTTGGCACACAGCGAAGCACTTCCTCTCTTAGCAGTGGAAAGTGAGGATTGAAAAATTGTTGCATACGCAAATACCTCCTTTTCTACCTGTTCTTTTTGTTCTCGAGTGATGCAGTCTTTTGCACTAGGCTGATGAGTGTTTCTTACGTCATAAATATGGATCTTCCGGTTTTGTTTATGAGCAATTATTTTTTTAAATGTTTGTGAAAATGAGCAAAAATTTGCAGCGAATCACAAACTTCATTCTGGAATTTGGGAAAAGTATTACAGAATGGAAACGACTTACGGCTTGACTATGCATACGTCAGTAATGTAGGGTTCCTCCCTCCTAAGAACCAGTTCATTTAAAGCTTGGGGCAGCCATGGAATCTCATATTCAGCAAAACCCCCAGATACTCCAAATTGCTAGCCAGTTCTTAAAACAGAGACTCCTGGTTTGCAAGCTAGATGCTTAATCAAAGCCATAGGCAATTGCCTGGGAACATTTGGAAAAAAAGACAAACTGCATTTACTGGTTTAGCAGTCATGTGCAGGTTCCATCTACAGTATATAAATGTACAGGTTTTTCAGGTTCCCAGTGCATTCAGCATTACTGGACATGGATGTAAAAGCAAGATGTGAAAACGAACTGTTCGTCCACACCCAAATTGCATGAAAATGTATCTCTAAATGCCATTCATTGAATACTTTTCAAGACTGATTTTATTGTTCATGGTAATGAATTAAATCTTTGTGATCTGTTTTTAAATTGTGATACAATCGTGCAGTTCCATCTTCCTTGGTCATTACAGCTGAACAGTTGGGATGCCAAAAGCCCATATACAGTAGGAGCTGCATTTTTAAAATTAAAGATTTATAATAGAGCCACCACTGTGGAACTTGAATGCTGTAGCCGTTTCCTAGTGGGGGTGGGCTGAAAGCCGCTAATTGTGCCTGTCGGTGAATGCCTTATTTAAAGGGCCCAAGGGAGGTGGGACAGAAGCAAATTGTGTCTGATACTTAGTGCTGACAACATGACTGGTTTAAAATGACGTTGCAACTGAAACCGAAAGAGACTTAAAAGCGAGGAAAAAGCTGCAAACTTCTGTGTCTTGATTCTGGCAATCCTGAGGGCATTTTTCGATATGTATCAGGGATATGAACAAATCCAGGCCCTGTTCCAGACTTTACTGTGGCTGCATTTTACTGCAGCAGTCTGTTTATGGGACTCTTGCGATGGGCGGATGCACTCGAGCTGGAGTTTGGATCTAAATGTAAAATCTTCAAAAGTTTGCAGCCTGAGGGACTTTCTGAAGAGAAACTTGTTCAAACTTATCTCTGTTCAGATGATCTCATCTTTGGCTCACCTGGTTTTGTTTCTTATATGATGCAGAAGTAATTCTGTAGAATTTATCATTTTGATCTTTTCTGCCCTGCTTTGGGGCAATTGTTAATGCTACGTTGTCATTTTCCTACAGTAATTATTCCTGTTGAATAGCACATGTATATTTACCATTTTTTCCTGAAGGCAGTTCTTATCATCGTGTTATTTGCAAGAATAATTTCTCTCTGAATAAGGCCAGTGGCCCCAGGTAACTTCCCTGGGGCTGCCAGCTAGCCCTTGAGAGAGAAGTGAACCGCTGCGCTGACGTTATCAGCATAAGGTTCTTCAAAAATTTGAGTGCTACAAGTTTTGAAGAAGTTTGCAGCCTTTTCTTCCCGCAGTGCCCTAGCTGGTGTTGGCAGTGGTTTTGGAATGTCTCAAAACAATGGAGAACAGCTTGCATGCCTCTTGAGTGACATTTTTTGGTCAGGCACTTTGCAAAACAGCTGCTTTCTTAACTAATTGAGCGTCAATGTTTGTGATGTTTGCATGCTGGTAGCAACCTATTTTTTGGTAACAAGGCATAGAACAGAAGTTTCTTAAGCCAATAAATGTTATGCTAAATTAGCGATGCTGTTCAAATCTGAGCCTCTCTTCTAATACTTCCTGTAATTTTGTCTAACATTTATGAACCCTTCGGTACGTCTTTAACCTTTTTTTTTCTCCTTCCTTCTTTTCAGAATCCTAATTGTTCAATGCCTTTTTTTTTTCCCCCTTCCTTTGAAGCCTCCTTCCCTGCCTTTCTCTTATCGCTTTTCTTTGTTTTCATTTTGTTCTGCCCCCCGATTCCCTGCTGCCGCAGAGCTGCTCTCTACTGGTGTGCAGCGGTTGTCATACCTGCGCACTAGCAGTCTCAGCTCCACTCACCATGACTCCCGCCCCAACTCCCCCTTCCGACACCACTTCATCCCCTATGTCAAAGGTAAGGAGCCAGGCCTCCCCAGGGAGTACCCTTCAGGCTGGAGATTTATTAGCATTCTGTCACAGCTAATAAGGTGTATCTCTGTAAGGTGCCATTGGCTGTGTAGCTGAGCATGCCTTGAAATGTGCCGTTACACTTTAACTACGTTAGAATAGACATAATGTCCTTTTTTTGGAGGAAATATGTCATTTCTAAGGGCCCTAGTTGAAGAGTCATCAAGTAATTACTTATTAGAAATATACAGGAAAGCATTATCATTTACTATTTAGAACCTAGATGTGCCTAATCTAGCTTCTTTCTAAAGCAGTACACAACAATCGCTATAGCAGTTAGCATATCAGATTTAATTATTATTTCCATAATCTTAAAATACGCATTTAAAATTTGATTACAAATATTGCCTGGATGAGAACAAGATGGTAGAAAATATGGAGAAGAAGAAAAAAAAGATTATATGAAGAACAATGGCAACAAGGAAGTTAATCATTGTTGATCACATTGGCAATAATTAGTGCCCAACAAAATAAAATTAAAGTCTCTAGGCCTCTCCTCAACTGGTGACAACCAGCAGACTCTGCTGAAGGCAGTAGAGTTGCAGGGGTTTACACTACCTGAGGATCTGGTCATTTCTGTTATTCCCATGGTTTGCTCTGGCGGAATGGTTCTTTTTTCATTGTGTCCCTTCAAGGAGCTCATTCAGCTCAATGAGCTTTTAGTTTTGTTTCTTGCTATTCGTGAATGAGGTTTTACTTTTATTTCCATTGGAGCACTCTCTGGCTGTGCCATCTCTTCTGTTGTTGGAGAAGGTCATAGCTTGTATCACCCTCAAGACCTCAAAAAGAAGTAGTTGGGTAAGCTGACAACAGATTCCAGTCTGGCACCACTGATTAATGTAGATAATCATAAATGGGAAATAATCAAACACAGTTGCAAGGAAGTTGTTGCCATGAACTTTCAAGAAATGCTAATAGATCTCAACGTTATAGCTCTTCAAGCATTCAGAACACCATTACTAACTTCACTCTTGCCTCTTCTTAGATGACTTTTATTAATATGCACTTTCAATCTTTTTATTATGTCACTATAAAAAAAAATCTCTTCAAACTTAAATAGATTGGGACCCTTAAAAATAGATACACTGCTCATTTCAGCATGCAGTTAATTCATAATCCTTGCAATTTCAACATTTCTTTGCTGTAAATCCAAATTAATGCTCACACTCTTTCAAGTGGCTTTTTCTTTTTTTTTTCTGTTGAGAAAATAGCTTCTTCAACAGATAAATCAGAAGAGCTATTGGAAATCCATGCCTATTGTTTTCAGATTTCACAGAATTACCTGGTGTGTAGATTAGGTATGTATCTCAGTTTTCAGTACCAAAGGCCACAGTGGGATTACAAGCCCTGTAAACAAAGGGGTGAGTATGGTGCTTATCAGATACGTCACCTAAGACCTTGTAAGATTCCACCGTTAAGGTCTTGTGCCTGGAGAGGATTTAAGTGTTGTGACTCAGCAAAGCTCCTGAAAGCTCAAGCTCGTACTACTGTGACAGTGTACACCATCCGAGGGTGTGGTGAATTTGAGAAGGGGCAAGGGACCGGTACCCACATCCTGTAATTTGCATGGCTGAATTGAAAGAGTAGCCTTTGATCGTTGGTTGAGAACAAGAAGCACCTTCTTAAGGTGGCCTAACTTTGGAGCCTTGGTCAATGTGATGGGAGTATCCCCACAGTTTGTATTTCTTTTTGGTTTTCCTTCCTGTGGGAGAAGGCGGCTACTCAAAAAACCCAAAAATACACTTTTATGTTTCAGTTCAACACTGCAAGCTGGGGTCTCTCAGAGCTTTCACCCAAACTTGGACATTTCTAAAACATACACAGATACATTAATTTGGGGCATTTTTGGTAATGATATAGAAGGAAACATGAGACAGTACTGCAGAGTTCCCTGATGGCATGCAGCCTGTCAATAAAGAACATGAGCAAGAGTTTTCTTGGTGAACAGTGTAGCCCAATGTCAGCCATGCTTCTAAGTGATGTGATATTCATGTCTGTACATGCTGGGGAGAGCAGTGACTGTGAGGAGGATCTGACTCTTCCAGTGGGTGGTAGGATGGATGGACGCATAGGACAGCAGAAGGAGCGCTGCAGCTAAAATTGCTAAGCAGAGACATTAGGTGCTTGAATAGACCTACAGGGAATTGAATTGGTAAGTCCAAGTGGGATGGGTGATGTAGGAGATACTACAGATGCTTCAGGGAAGGATCACCAAATAATTCCAAATCTCGTAGTGAAAAAGTTATGGCTGTTAATGTATTAACACTGTGAAATAGAAGGATTTGGTAATGATTTGTTCAGTGTCGGTGTGCCTGAGTGCCCTTCCATATGCCAGGCAAAGGTACAATAATATGTTATACTTAAATAGGGATGACTTTTATCTAATTTCTCTGACTTTTTTGAGGTGAAGAGAAGTAGCTGTTGAAACAACTTAGGGAAAGTTTTGTCTTCCCATTACTACAGAATACTGAAAGGTACAAAAGGTCATAGAGCCTGAAGACCTCGTATTTTTTCCAGCATGTTAAGTGATGAACAAAGTGCTCACAGTCAGAGCAAGCTCTGGCTTGTCCTGTAAAAGGAGTGAGATGGAAGACAGTTCTTAATCACCTGTGCTCGAACATAGACGTAGTGTATATACACATGTGTGTACTAACAGTGCACGTGCACTTGAAGAAAGACAAGATGATAGGGACTGGTGATGTTTTTGAAAAATAAACCTTTCTGCTTGTGAGTGCAAGTGTTTTCATAGGAAGAGATCATATGGCTTGACCCCCCCATGGCAGGAGGGTTGGAACTAGATGATCTTTAAGGTCCCTTCAAACCCAAACCATTCTATGATATAGGTTGCCCAGTATATAACGGGGGGGGGGGAACATTGGAGTAGTGTTAAGTCCAGCTGTACTATATTGTCCACCCTCTTCACTACTTCATGTTCATAAATGGATATTTTGTTGTCAGCTGATGAGGTTGATCTGCGTTTCCCACTCGGTTCTTCATTTATCCCCCTTGCATACCACTTGTGTCCGAGTACCCCCTTCCTACATCTGTGCAGCAGAGAGATTAGTCTGGCACTGGCTGCACCTAATGCAACTCCCTGATACTCTCATCCATGGGGGATTGACTTGGATAGTCTAGTTGTCTGTTTTCAAAGTTTAAAGAACTGCATTATTTTACCCTTGAGAGTAGCAGTTTTATGTCTGCTAGGGAATTAGACCCTTGTGAATGTATCTGAAATGAGGCTACGGCACTCTGGGGGTTAATTGGATGCGACAGATAAATTTGCAGTGATTCAAAGAAGAGGCATCCTGTGATCTCATTTGTACTTGGTTGGCATTTCTCAGAGACACTTGTACTTTTAGCAGGAAGATGAACTTGATGTAAGGTTGTAAGAAAAATCTCATAAAGCTATAATTTTGTTGTTTTTTTTTTCTTTAGGTAAAGGAGCATGATTTTCAAACAGCGCAGTGAAAGTGGCATACGACACCTTACGCCTGTGTCGTTTCAAGCCAGAAAAGTAGACATTTAGACCAGTTTCAGTGTGTTTGCGTACAGCAAAATGCTTAAACAAGCGTAATGCTCGAGCCTTGTTGAGAAGGCCAGGTAAATGTAAAGAACTTTGAGGACTGAACGTGCCTCAGAAATCCTTAGTGAGAGTTTGTTAATGTCACTGATGTGTTGGACAAGCTGGAAGAGGGTGTAATATGCGTCAGTTTAGACTTCATTTAATCTCATTTGGACTCTGTTGAATTTGGTCTTGTCTCAATAACGTACTGTATTTGCTATGAAAGAATCAAAACAAGTCCATGAATGAAAGAAACCCTCACCCTACTGAAATCGGAGACAAAACTCCCATTGAGAGCCAGGATTTCATCTCGCATGCCTAGAATTTTTCAGAGGCATTCAAGAATATTGCAAAGCCCCCACAAGATTTACATATAGAAAGATCTCCAAAATAATGTGTATTCCTCAGCTCACAGACCTTCCCATAAGGAATTACTCACCTTCATAGTGATTTTGGCCTTGGCTTTCACAGGTTCCTGCTTTCCTTCCCTGGGGCAGATCTCTGAAATCAAATGCTCTCTGTGTGTGACAACTATTTGCAGGATTTTGTGGATGCAGCAGAAATCTCCGCTCTGGAGAACAGCAGGGCTTTGACTGTTTCGTGACTTTCAGTTTAGTGCTGGAAATAGGAGCTGCATATCTGACAAGATGATGGATTCTGTTTTGACAGAACCTGGAGAGGACACAGGGTTTCAGGTGCTGTTGAGCTCTTTTTCCTATGTCTCTTCAGACATACAGCAGCGAAATCGCAAGTTGACAGAAGGCTCAGTGTTGGTTGCATATGGGTTTTTAGGCCTGATACTGTGAACTTAGCCTGTGAATCACACAGGAAGCCAGCCCGGTGGTGAGCGCTTCAGAAGGCAGCAGGAACCTGCATTACACTCTGCTTTGTATAGGCAAGCAGTTATATTCCTGACTGCTAGGGGAACCTGCTTAACAAACCGACCTGTAGAAAATGGGAACTGCCTGATGGAGCCAACAGAAGGAAAGAAAAAAAGCCTCTGAATTTCATTTCTGAGGCGGCTGTGCTCGAGTGATTGATTTTTATATTAAACCTACTTCTTTATCTCTTAACATCCCCAGCCCACCTACACACATGCATTCAACTTCATGCCAGGGGTGTGGGAGCTAGTTTTTTCCTGCAGTGCTGGTGAACTGGAGTACTCTTGATGCTTTTTGGATTTAACACTAGTTACGGTGTAGCGGAGATAGAAAGAGCGGCTTTCCTGTGCAGGCACAGCAAGGAACCCAAATTCAGAGCATGCAGACCCCCTGCTTTTGTGTAAAGCTGGGAGCAGGCTGGCCATCAGGTCCTGGGAGGCAGGCACAGGCAGGCTGGCAGCTCTGCTACCTGTATGCATACGCACGTTCCACGGATGTTGGCACTGCTTTCATACATTGTGGGTGATTTTACAGCAGCATCTGAAGCACTTAAGCCTTGTTGTTAGAGTGGGCTCATCAGGGATGATTTAATGAGAACCTAAGTAGATGTACCATTCCCTCCTGCAGTGGTTGGAGGTCATAAGGCTGCTATCCAAGAAAGTATGAAGGAAAATCATTTCTCAGTACAAGTGGGAGTCATTGGTAAGAGAGAGGCTGCACAGAAACCCCAGGAAATACAAGCCAGCAAAGACATCTGTAAAGCAACACGTGCAGGATGATACCACGCTATTGTCTGCCTTGTGCCATAGGCACTGTACAACATTACCAACTCTCTACAAACACTCCATGGACCAGATTAGCACAGGATTAGCCAGCATACTTTTATGGATGTGAGCATACTTAGTTGTGTCTGGTTGAGATAAAGAGCAGGGTATAAGAAGGGTTTCTTCCCTGCATTTGTAATATTGGTGATAGAGGTGGTGTAAATTGAACATGCTCACTATCACCAGTTTTAACTCTCAGTTCCCAACAGGTAAAATATCCTTGTGACTCCTTTGTTATGACAGTCCACAGGTCAATAAATCCCTTTTGATTCTTCCCTTTCATTGAATATATTAACTACTAGTGGAAGCAGGAAGGCTGAATGACAGACCTCTATAAAGGTTATACATTTTAGAATTAATTATATCTTGAGGCCATCTCAACATTGATGTTTTTTTCCCGATAGAACAATGATTTTGCTGCATCATTTCTCAGTAGAAACAAAAGAACTCAGTAAAATCAGCTTAACCAAGATAGGTGATTCACCGTCACGGTATTTCAACACAATATTGGAATTGCCAAGTAAAGAACCATACGCTGAGATGTGACAGTGTTATTTCAAATAATCGTTCATACTGCTGCTCAGACTTAGTAAACCCAGCGCGTGCTGTTACCTGGCCAGAAGCACAGCATCACTGCACCCAAAATAGAAAACCACCATCAATTCATGTGGTTGAAAGAACATCACATTTGGGGGATATCATGTACATTAAATCATTCAGGGATGAAATATCCAAGTAGTAAATATAGAACTTTTGCACGTGCATTCTTCTGGATAAATTTTGTACAGTCAAGGCCCCTGAACTGTGCATGTAATTTTTAAAACGTGCAGATGGATCCACTTGCGTCGGAGCAGCGGCCTCTGCAGCACATCTCTCAGCGAGGTTTGTAAAGAGCAATTTTTTTTCACCTTTCTGGTGCCTTTTAGATTAGGAGACAACTGGTCAAGTTAAAGAGAAAGCCTGTAACTGAAAGGAGGTCTGCAGGTTTGGGGTTTTCTTTGTATTTTATAGCCTTCCTGTACTTGTGTCTCCCTGCCTTTTTTTTTTTTCTTGGTTTGTTAATCGGCTTTCCTAGGTTTTATTTAAGCCCTTGTGCATACCTGAAAACTAGAAGGGGTGTGATGCTTCCCTACTTCTCACCGTTGTGGTCACCCACACCCATATAAAATAAGCACCCATACAGAGGGTTTTTGCTTGTGCGTGTTTGCACTAGTGTGAGAAATGGCACAAAGTAAAAGGCAGCAACATTCTTTTATGTTAGACACAGTCGTGTGTTCGGATATCTGGCTGCTAAGTTTTGATGCTTGGGGATCAGCCAGCATGGTTCTGCAACAGCCCTCTCACCCTGATAGACACGGGAAATCTCAGGGCTGTTGAATCGCTGTGGTGGATTGTTAGGAGGCAAAGAAATAGTCCTGGTAAGAGTAATCCTGCAAGTGGAACAAACAGTGTGCACAAAATGGAACTTCAGTTTTTAGACGTTACATTCAGATTTGGTAAATCAGCAGTGGTGAAGTATTGGCATCAGAGCCAAATTTGGCATCAACGGTGATTTGGGGTAGAACCAATGATATGGTTGCAGCCACCAGGTGGGCTGCATTGCTTTACAAATTATTTTGTTGTATTAAAAATTTCCTACCAGAGAGCTAAACCAGTGAAAGAAGTTATGCCTTCTGATATGGGCCGAGTGACCTAACAGCTATTCTCCATCTCTAGCTTCTCTATGCTTCTGGTTTAGGGAACTGTGGTAACTGCCAGCATCTGCTTCTGTCTGCTTGGGAGTTGGTTTCACTTGAGTTTGCATATCAACTGCTGTGCTCTGTGCCTGCAACTTCTAACTCCAAATATTGATCTCCGTACTAAATCATTGCCAAGTAACTTTCCATTCTTCTTTTCCACGCTACCCATCCAGTCACCAGCTGCGAGCACAAAGCTGCCGCCTGCATGCCGTCAGAATGAGTCTGAGCTGCTCAAACTTCACCTCCAGCCTGAACATGAATTTTTGTCTCTGCAGGAATATCAGAGAAAAAAAAAAAAAAAGTCACCAGGGCTACCAGTTCTCGCTATTGTTTGTATTTATATATTTGGTTCAACTTCTTTTCTCCCTGGAGGTTTTGATTCCACCGATTTTCTTTGGGTTTGATTGGGCTTGCTTTTTTTTTTTTTTTAATTGCTCTCCCTCTTCTCATTTTGTTTTCTCCATTCTTTCATTGGAGGCAATGAGCCGTCCAGCGGTCGGAACTCCCCTGTCCCTTACCGGCCCGACAGCCGCCCTCTCACTCCAACTTACGCTCAGGCCCCTAAACATTTCCATGTTCCAGGTAGGAGCTGGCACTGTGTGTGTCTCGGTGTCCTGTCACAGTGTAGAATGTAGCCTTTGTAACTTTTGTCTTGTCTCCATCGTTTCACGCTGTTTACCAGGGGGTGAGCCCGCAGGGTGTGGAACTGCCTGCTCCCAGGCTTGCTGAGGAGTAGTGACTCAAGAAGTGGAGGGGGGGTTCTTTGTGGGTTTTACGTATTGTTGTTCAGGTGTTTCACTGTTTGAGTGACTTGTTTTTCAGGGTCTGTTGATGGCTGTGAGCTGGATATGAGCTGTGTAGGGCTTGATTGGTCTCCCAGTTACACCAGCTGAGCACTGGCGTAACCTTTGGAGGAGTTGGTTTAGATTCAGAGCAGCGTGCAGAAAGGAGCTGAGCAGTCAGCCGTTGCGTGTGTTGTTCATTCAGATTGATGTGACTTATTTCAGTTTTGAACCCAACAGTTCCAGTTTAGTGTTCTGGTTTTTTTAAAGCAGATGCTGGATGTTTCGTTACTTGTTTTGTGCACTGGCTTCTTGTCCTCGGAGAGACCTGCAGTTCCACAGGGATATGCACACCTTAGGATGGCCTCTCGAGAAGGGGCAGTCTCAGTTTTCAAGCGAGCTGCACAGTTCTTGCAGCTTTTGAGACATGGTTTGTCTTGGATTTTGATGGGAGGAGGGTGTATGTCCCTAGGGTTGTGGGCATGCATCTCCTGACTGCATCAGTGCTAGCTGAAAGCCTTTATTACATCCAGTTGCTCTTTAGGGTCTCCTTAGCCTAGTATCCCTTCACACTGCCAGGGGCTACTGCTATCCCTGCTTTCCTCACGTCGGGCAGATAAGCTGTGGGAACCTCCCCTTGAGTCAGTGTGACCTGGACTGGCTAAGGTGGGCTGTTTTACCTGCCTCGGCTGACCTGCGTAAGCTAAAGTGCACTTGCATGAATAGCTCCGAGTAATCATCTCTGGCGTGGTGGGAGAGCGGTCCTCTTCAGCTGGCACCGTGCAGGCACAGAAGGAGCTGTGTCCCCATCCTCCTTCCAGCTTTCTGGTATAGGTGTGCGCAAACGGACTGCGTGGCTACCCTTGTAACGTTTATACCTGTTTGCTGGTCAAGTAGCCATAACCGGTCGCTAACAAGAATGACATACCTCAGTGTCTTTGCATGCAGTGAATTTGCCTGTTCAGTCAAGGGTGTAGGGCTCTGCAGAGTAAGATTTGCCTCTGCTTCAGCAGATTTTTAGGGTTAGCTTTCCTTAATGGCAAAGGCTGAGTTGTCTGCTCTAGCACTTGAATTGGATCTGCGACACACTGCGTGTGTTTCGAAGGTGCATTTTCATCTTCCATTTTAATGTAACCAAAAACATTTGGCAGGCAGTATGAAGTATCCAAATGGCTTTCTGACATCAATTTTCTAGTTCCCAGTAGCTTATTTGGGCCTTCAAATAAGATTTTGACAGATTTTGCACTGTAGTATTGATTTTGGATTAACTTTTGTATTTGTAGCTGTGCCAAATACATGAAGTGTTGGCTTGGGTGGGTAGGTAGCTTAGAAAAAACTGGTTCCTGTCTTAGATCATTCTTTGTAACAATATGTATTTTAGACATGCTGTGAATATACTGCATTAGAGTTCCAGGAAGTGTCTGTATTCTGATTTAGATTGATAATGTGCAATGTGGTGGGCCTTGCATAAAAAAATTACAAAAAAAGAAATAAAATCTCTTCTTGTCGTTTGAGATTTAGTAGTATATCCGTTAACACTGCACAGAATATCCTTTTGACTCGCTGAGGTGTAGCTGCTGTTGGCTGTTAAAACAGTGTATTAGGCAGCCGTTTTGTTCTCTGGATTTTGAAGTGAATTGTAGGCTCACTGCATTCTCCTCTGCTCAATCCAGCCAGCCAGTTGGAAAGAAAATTGAGCTGTTATGACTGAAGTACAATTTTCCACCAAAGTTATTTGGGGTAGCTTTCCCCAAATGACTTGTGTTGTCACCATTGAAATGTCTTGCTTGTTTGCATTTCTTCTCTAAGTTTTGTCCCACTGATAATCTTCTGAATGTTTAAAATGTTCATGACTTGGATGCATCCACATGTTACAGAATCCGCTCCAAAGGACTCCATACCACATGTCTTTGACTTCTCACTTCTTCTTATGTTTTCTTTTCTTTAAATAATCTGATTTTGTATAATACTAGAAACAGCTTTCTGGCTTTTTCTTGTGCTACATCCTTGATTTGGTCTGTCTGTTGGCTTAGTGTCGGAGTTCTACAACTGAAGTAGCTTTCATAGTCACGTTTTTCTGTTTCTCAATTTCACAGATCAAGGTGTCAACATTTACAGAAAACCACCAATCTACAAACAACATGGTAAATGATCTTTCCCTTTCCTATCTCAAAACCGGAGTGTCAATTAGACTAAAAAGCATGCAGACTAGTGAAAAGCATTCGGTGTTTACTTTGTAAGCAATAAAAATGTCATCCAAGCTTTAAACAGCTGTTATTACATGCGCTGCTGAGTGATTATGTTTTAAAGCATGCTGTTTCATTTGGATCGTATGGTTTAAATCTTGGCCATGGTGATATTAATGGCAAAATTGCCCTTAACTAGGATTCTGCTGTCTCTTTAGAATTATGGTGCCTTCCTGTGTTTTACTTCTTTAAGTTTATATTTTCAGAATACAGGTACTGATCATGTTAAAGTGGATTAACAACTGACTGTTCTCTCACAGGGACTTCATGGAATATCCTTATTTTAAACCGATAAAGTACAGTTTATTTCAACAGCAGAGGTGGAGATGTTAGTATCAGACTGGAATTCTAAATGTAGCAGTGGCTTTATCAAGTATCTTTAATTACTGAAGACAACAGAGGTGACTTTTCACAGGCAGGGCTGATGTGATTCTCAAGCCCTGTGATACAGCTCAGGGAGCACGCTGTACTGGTATTTCCAGGTGGTTGGATTCAGAGTTGGACAGCAGTGTCAGTGCTCTAATCTTTTTGGTGTAGGCATCGTTATAGCAAGCCTGAAACAACAGTGGTGGCAGAAACCCACTGCCTCGCCAGTACTGCAGAGCAAGGTCCTGTTTATAAGGGAGAGGGTTCGCTCTTCCCTTCTGCTTTGAATAGAAAACGTTGAACTGGAGATGATTTTTATGTAGTGCGGTGAAAGATGGACAACTCTGCTTCTTAAAGGCTTTGAGTTTGCATCCCTTTGCAGACCCTTTATCCAATGAAATGTGTTTAGGGTTAAGCAGCTGGATGAACAATTAGCTGAGAGCCATTGAGCTGAGATGATTAGGAGACCCCGTGAGTCTATTCTGTAGTCAGCAAGTAAGACCACTGTGGTATTACATCAGGGTTTTTCCCTCTTTCTTTTTTTAAGTTTCAAATCATGTGCTCATTTTGGAAAAAGTCTTAACATTGTTTTATTTTTATTTTTATGGTTTTAATGTATCTCCTCACCTCCCATTAACATGTGAATGTTTAACCACTGACATCACCAATTCTAATACGTAAGTACTGTTTGAAGTCATGCTTTTGTAAACTCTGACCAGCTTCCTCCATACCTGCAGCTATGCTTAGAGTTTTCCAATCACAAAATGCTTGGGATTCCCAATGATATGTAATACTGGTGTTCCTAAACGACCCTGAACGTGTTGGATGAGCAACACAGTGCTTCACTTCATTAAGAGAAAAGGAAAACAAGGTCCAGAATCCTTGTTTCTGACACAACAGCTTCATATAAGAGAGTGTGGTTAGAGCTAACAGTTTGCAGAGAAGAGGCCGTTAAGACTGGTTTTGATGTAACCCGAATCCTGTTGGAGTTTTTTTTTAACATCAAGAAGTGAAAGCCATAATGCACATCCTCACATGCTTTTAAGAGACTTTGGCTTACATTGGAATCTTAAGCGGATGCCCCACTGCTACGATATTTTATTGGTGAGGTTCATTTCATTCCAAGTGCCTTTCCCTGCCAAATTGATCTGAATGGAGTTTAGTGTTTATTAATAAAGTCACATCTGCTTTTACTACTCCTGCATGCTACTAAACAAGGGCATGCAGCAGAAAAAATCCACTGGTTAAACAAACAAACTTATTTGTTTCAAATTTCTTTTTTGTGGTTGTTGTTGTTTTGCAGCTTTTCACCAAAACATAGGAAATAATTAGCATCGATAAAGTTAAAATTAGTGCTGTTCCTCTGTACTGTTTGTTTTCTTGCCCTAGAGGGAAGACAGATCAGTACAAAAATCTGGTTTCATCTTCGTTAATAATCACCTGTCCTTAAGAAATGTTGGCAAATACTGTTAGATTGAATTTTCTTACTCTTGCCTCATCATTGTAACACTGTGCAACCCTAGTAAAATCCAAAGCTTATTTGGGGTAATTTGGCTGTGGGGATGAGGGAGGAGAGGAAGGTTTGATTCCATTCTCTTGGCAAGAGAAAGTCACTACTTTGCTTCAAATTGCAATTAGAAAAGCAAAACATGAATGTGTTTGCTTTTGGAAATTAATTTCTTTGTAAAGTATATAATTTTGCCAGAATAACAAGACCTTTATATTGATACCGACGATTACAAAGCTAAGTTCCCTGATTGCTGTCTAGATGCAGCTGCTTTGGCAGCACAGAGCAAGTCCTCCGAGGATATCATCAAGTCCTCCAAGTTCCCAGCAGCCCATGCACCAGCACCCAACGAGATACCAAAGATTGAGACGGACCACTGGCCAGGTCCTCCCTCCCTTGCTGCCATAGGTATGCAAAGCAAAATGATACAAGCGATGCGGCTTAAAAGGTACCGGTAACCAAAGTAGGTTAATCCTGGAGCTGTAAAAATGGGTAGTGAAGATTGTGTCCACTCCAGGTATTCACCACAAGTGAGACCTCCAAGTGTCCGTGAATTTAAAAATACTGAACAGCGCTGAGTAGGAGCGGTTTTGCTAAAGGACTTTGGAATTGATCACACAGGTACTAACCCTTAGACAAATTATGTGAACTTCCGTGCAGTACCTTCAAAAATGTGGTGCGTCACACAAGCCTGACTTCTTTCAGTTATTGTTTATTTAATCTTTTAGTCCTAAGCAAATAGCAAATACTCCACAGAAAATATGATTGCTTCCAACCACATGACTGTTTGCATGGCAAGAAGCAATAACTGATGTAGACTAGTGAAAAGTCCTGATTTTCAGTGTTACTGTTTCTACAGATTTTGTATTTTTCTTCTGTGTTGTTGCACAGAAACAAATGGATCTCATTTTCTTTTCTTTAAATCATGAGCATGATCATTTTTAATTTTTTGTTCTCTTTTTTTTTTTCCCTCTGTTAATTTTTATTGTCCCCCAGAGCATAAAATAAGCTATCTAGCCCAGTTCATTTATGAAATCATGTCTGAAACACCGATGGTGTTGACTGTTTCAGGTTTCTGTGTAGGGTTTTCAGCACAATGGGATTTTCGCAGAAGTGCTGGGAGAGGAGACACGGGGTGAGAGAGCTCCATGACTAGTTGAAGGGGCTGTATATGCAGTTTTGTGAAAAAGTCCTTTGTAGGATTGCAACCTGACAAATGTTACAGTGATAATATTGAAAGTTGGAACTCTGCTGACAACACTTGTGATAACTCCAGCATTACTGTGCTGTATCTCTGAGGTGAAGCCTCTGTTGGACATCTGGACTCTCAGTTCCTGGTAAAACTCCTCTGTATATTGGTTATCAGGTGATTTTCTTACACCTGAGAAACTGAACCAGGCTGTTGGGAAACCAAAAATGTGCTCGTGGACGTATTTTATTCAGAAATAAAAAGACATCATGCAAAATTACTTACTAAAAAACAAACCCACGAGTCTCAGGTTTTTAGCCCTGTCTGATTTTCTAAGTGTTATTTTGCTTACAGAGCTGGAAGGAGCTCAGCTGTCCAAAAAATGAGTCTTGTGAAAGCCTGAGACATGAAAGAAAATAATCAATTATTTAAATGCAAACAAATAATTTCTCCATATGTCTTTGTCTCTCTCCATATTAGCATCAATTTATCGCTGTGGTACAAAATGTTTAATTGATAAAAAAACTTTCTGATACTTTAGTTGCAAAATGTAGTCTTCATTCAGATAAAACACTGAGTTTGTCTAGCATAAGATCAGTGAATAACTGTATCAGGATATTGCCTGTGCAGAAACAAGTACAACTGCTGTCTAAATGCTTGCAGCAATGTCATCATATTTTGTGTATTCATGGAATGATGTCCAAAATGGAGCATTTCTTAAGACTATTCAAGAAAATAAAGATAATTCAGTAAAAAGTAAGGAAGTAATGTAGAATACAAATTATTTTGCTTCATTTTAGACTAAACATAATGACTTGTTTGTTCCAAATATGAGTGTGCCTATTTAGGAGATTAATGTAGTTTAATTTTTCATTTGAAGTGTTAATTCAGATTCGCTTTTCTGAGTCTAGATAAAAGTATAAATGTAAATCACATTTTCTCTTTTCAACCACGGGTGAAGTTACTGGTGCCATTAAACGCTGCGTGTCCAGAGCTAGCAGTCTGAGCTCATTTTTCCTATTACATTAATTTATGGCTTTTGTATCCAGGACCGTTGCTTGGTTGGGAACCCACGTGCAGTTTAACTTCTTGTTAATTTTATAAGAAGCCTGATAGTCATCGGGCAGGCTATCTCACTGAGTTTTATGAAGGGTGACTTTTGAAAGAGTCTTTTGAGTCTGCAAGAAAACACTGCTTTGTTTATTCAGTAAATCAAACTGACCAGTACTTTCTAGCATGAAATCTTCAAGCTGCAGTTGAACCGATACACAAAGCTCTTCCTGTATTGTGGTTTTATGGAAGCAGGAGCTGACATGAGACGCAGATCAAGTGGAAGAGAGGAAGATGACGAGGAGCTTCTGAGACGCCGGCAACTGCAGGAGGAGCAGCTCATGAAGGTGGTTATAAGCTTGTCTTCATGCTGTTTCTGAACACCATCCAAAAGTCCCCTTTTGTTTTCTGTAAGCAGTTTCTAATAATGCCTTCATCAGCTTTATTTTACTGATTTTTTTTTTTTTTTAATTGCCATTTCGGGCTCAACTCTGGTCTGGGACAATTGATACTGAAAGAAGAGATGGAAAGGGAGAGTCGCGATAGGTCAGCCCTTTCTGGCAGTCGTTACGATTCTCCAGGTAACTCGCATAGGCCATAAAGCTAATAATGAACAGTGAATAATGAACACCACATATACACGTACCAAGCAGTCTCCCAGAAGAAAGACCACTGGGAGGACTGCTTGATATGTGTGTATGTGGTTTTCCCCTGAAAGAGTGGCCTAATTCTTAACTGATTTTGGTGAGGGGCAGAGTGTTGTGGTTGTTTTTTAATTTGAAGAAATATGAGGTTGAGGATTTTCAGGCAATTTTGAGGAGAGAGGTTTTCTAATAAAGATAAGGAGTGAGGTAAAATATTCGGTGACTACCGAGTATAGTTTTTGAGTTTCCATGGGATTTTTCCACTAAAAGATTTTTTCCCTTCCTCATTCAACAGCACATGCTTCAGCGTCCAAAACCTCTTCTCTCCCCGGCTATGGAAAAAATGGACTTCACAGGGTAAGGAAATGGCAATTTTGGGAAGCGAAAGGTGGCTTTAATTACCCATGATATTTATTTTCCTATCAACTGTATTGGATTTTCAGTTTGGTCAGGCTTCCTTACGAGACCATCTGAAGTCAGACAATACCTAATTTCCTGTCCCACAAACTACGTTGTTAAAAAGGCAAGAAAGCAATGGAAGAACCGTTGTGAAAATTGAGGGGGGGGGAAAAGGCTTAAAGCAGTTTTTTACCATATACCAACCTGCTTGTGGAGTCATGAACTGTGAATTTATGTGCATGTCCCTCTTCTCCTGTTACAGCCGGTGTCTACAGATTTTGGTCAGTACAACAGTTACGGGGATGTGAGTGGCGGTGTTAGAGGTAAGGCTGTGGAGCCTTTCTACATGCCACTTCATTACTGAACATGTTATGAAGTTTGATCGTTGGTGCTGTTTTATTTTAAGGTTGTGGATGTGGTTACTCTATATTTGCTCAGTATATTTTAACTTCTGGTAAACTTAATGATTAACTCAAACTCTGCAAATAGCTATTAAAAATTTGGGGTTATTCTGCTAAATCTGCTGTGTGGAGCTGATCCTGGTTTATGCCAAGGAACTGCTTTAGCATTGCTGCAAATGGAGAGCAGGTAACATGTATAATATCAGGAATATGCACTGAGTTCTGTTACAGTGTTTTCTTTGAAAATTGCCATCCGCTGCTGTCTGAAAGAATGTACCACAGTGAAGGAAGGAGGATAATGCCTTCTAATCCCTGTTCCTGCTCACGGTTTTCATTATGACTTTGAGCTAGATGTAATATCAGTCATTGCCTAATAAAAATAGACAATATTTAGGAAAGTTATGGAAGTTTGAGAGTTAGTATTTTGAAATGGTTTGAACCGAGAGAGAGAGGCTAGTTAACTCCACAGCGAGACTGATACCTTAGGTACCTGACAGTCAGTCATCTTCCATTGGTGCTTGTGTCTCTTCATATACTATGAGGGAATCTGATGGCAGAGGTTAGGTGAGCTGAATCCTGCTCTACACATTTGAATTTTAGTTGGCTATTTATTCACTTGATTGTGGTTTTGTGGCTCTTAATATTTCCAAAGTGACTTTCCAAAATGAGAACCTTATTCAAAATGAAAAGGGCTGCAGTGTTTGGAGTGTTTGACTCTACATACTAAATCCAAAAGTAGGAAGGTTGCTGGCCTTAAAGAATCAAGTGGGATTTTGAAAAGATCAGGTAGACCAGAAGACACAAGGATTATCTGGCAGACTGTGGTTGATTCCTGTTCTTCCACACCCCAAGGCTGATGAGATTTCTCTTTTGCTTTTCAGATTTCCAGGTAGAGTACGGGTTTTCATCAGTCAACTGACAACAGAACAAAAAGCATCTACTTTCTTGATGAAGTTTGAATTTCTGCTACAGGGAAGGGTTTCTTAAGACAATAGCTTTGATTTTCCTGCATGTTTAAGCATAATCACCAACGTAGACTCTTACCAACAAAAGCCAGGCACAGCCTCAGGTTCCTCCTTGTTACCGCCCCAGAGCTGGGTTGAGACAGCTCGCACCAGTTCTGTCACTCGCTCTGTGAAATCCGCTGTCTGTTGGTATGAGTTATCTGTAATAGTCCTCTCTGGACTGCTGAGTGTGGTTTTATTTCCAGCCTCTCTAGTACCAACCCCACAGACATAAAGTCTGTCCTGCAGGCGATTTTCTCCCATATCAGGAGCCTTGACTCCTCATTTTTACCCTGAAATTTCTCTCCAGACAAGATGAGTGATCAGTAGTTCTACAGTGATGCCATCACAGATGAGGCACTAAGAGGTGTGCTTGCAAATATAAACCCTTTTACTCCAAATCCTGTCTGCAGGATTTTTTCCACAATGGTGTGAGTCTGGCTGGCTCCTCAACACAATCGCAGTATGAAATGGCAATTTAAGAAAGGGTTTAATTACTTGGATAATTGTGTTAATGGTTTGTCAAAAATCATGATGGTTGGAAAGAGAATAAGGTTATGGGAGGAGAAAGGAGTTGTCCATGTATTGTGCTCATAACGTTTTTCCGTTAGGAACAGTACCTGTGTCAAAACAGCCCCTTTTTACCCTATCCCTTTTTGTGTTCATACTACAAACTTCCCATCATAAAGACAAAAAAAATAATCCCTCAGTTGATAAGTGACAGGAAGGAGAGCCCAGAGGTGTAAGAGTGCTTTGTATGCTGTTGGGTGGGATCTAAATTAGTGCTTCTGCATATTTGTGCGGAGAAGAACCCTACTTGGTCACTTGGGTGGGAAATGGCCCACTACTCTTTTGGGGTCGCCCAGGTCCACCCGGGAAGTGATGTTGGTAGGCTGAGTGGGGAGCTATTGCCAGCCTTAGCAGTGACAGAAGGCTGTGGTGGCAGAGAGGATCGAAGGATCCCTCAGAAATTGTAAAAAGTAGCTATGGCAATGATCTATATGATAAGACTTGAAGGTAGTCTCAGGGCAAATTCACCTTTGTTTTCACCACGACTTGAGTGCCTTTACCCTCTGTGTGTGTAACCTATGTGTTTGTGTATACCTGTATCTGATGCAGTCCCTTCCGGATGGTCATGTCCCTGGAATGAGAATGGACAGAGGAGTATCTATGCCTAACATGTTGGAGCCAAAGGCAAGTGCAGATATTGTTCACTTTCCTTCGAGTCAGTGAAGAGTTGACTGTGAAATGCAGATAAAATTCAGGAAATGTCTTCGTACCCTTGTTTTTATTTACCTCGCCTCAGTCCCTGCTCCTTGTGTGCCAAACCTCTCCCTTTGTCCTGGACTTCGCCTGTTACAGGTGTTAGTACCGAGGCAGGCCAAGGACAGCCCAGGCGTGCTCTTGGGTTAAGGAGGCTTCTCCAGAGACAAAACAAAGATACTGAAGATGCCCAATAGCTAGTTCAAGCTTCTGCTAGCCAAAATAGCAGGCCAAAATCGATGAGGAAGTCTTAGATCTGTCAGGTTAGAAAACTGACGCACACTGTTGAGGCTGTCTTGATTTAAAAATTAATGACATACATGGGTCTTTGTTTCAGATTGGAAGTTAGATACCTACATGTCTGTCTGGGTCTGTTCCTTAGCTCACAGCACTGCTAGCGTGACAACTTTCAGTGGTGTTGAATTCCCTATATAAGAAAATTTTCAGGAGATTTATTGGGAAAAGAGGCAACGTCAGCTGAATATAATTTGAGATATAAATTAAAATGCTTTTGCACCTATGTCTAGAGATGTCTGAGTCAAAAACAAACGCAGTATACACAGGGGCTTCATCCAGGGCTGTGTTTTAAATCTTACAACTTTGTCTGTGGCTGGTAAACCTTCTGAGAAATCATGATTTTGCCAAAGTTACAAGGATCAGCATTTCTGCAGTTAAGAGAGGAGCTCTTTTTGCAAACCAGATTACTACCTGTGCTTCCAAGTCACCTCCTGGCAAACCGTACAAGGCAATAACCCTAGCTTTATAAGCTGAGACCCCAGTGCAATGTATATTAACAACTGTTTTTATATATTATATAAATAAGACCTTGGGGATGTCCCCAACTCCTGAGATACTACTTTTTATTCCAAATATTTTCTCCTTCAGTGCAATAGATATTCTTACAGCCACCATTGCTTTTGATGCACCCAGTGATTTGGAATGTTATTTTGGGTGACAAATTCTGTCAGTATTATTAGTGATCAAATTTATGGGCATTTTCATGAGATAATAGGCCACTTACTGTTGATGTTTCTAAAGGTGATGCCAGACCCGCAGCTTGTGAACTGGCAATATTTTTATTCATATCAATGGTCCAACACTAACTTAAACCTGATAAATTAAAAGAAGCCAACTCAGAGTCAGCATGAAACATGTCAAAAGGGAAAATTAGTAAACTTAAGAATGACCAAATCTTACCAGATGGTTCTCCAGAAAGGACAGAATTTGTGCATCCTGCCACCCCATATTGAGACATGTCTTGTTGTGAATATCTAAATATAAAATGTACTTAAGACCATAGATCTTGACTTAAACTCTGCCTGTTTAAATATAAAAAGCCACGTTTTAGTTTCCTATGATGCTGTATATGGTAGCTGTTTCCAGTATGAAACATAAACAATGTAATTCCAAGTATAGACTTAACTGTACAAATTGTGACAATGTCAGAATCTCCTAAGAATCATATCTTACAATTGGTATGTAAGCACACGTTATTTAAATTATTATTACTTACAATAAACTCCGTGGTGTGTTCATTGATGCCTGAATCTTATTTATTGTATTTCTGAGAAGTTCATTGGGGCAGTTGTTGACAATGGAATTAACTTAATTGCCTAGTTTGCACAGACATTGCTTAGGCTGAATTTCTTCTGGTGTTAAATAGCGCTTGATAATGGCTTAGCTGTCTCTCCAGGAGAGTTTTGGTGGTCTCACTCTTGTTCCCAGCGGGCAAGTAAAACAAGACCCACAAGTAACAGTAAAGGCTGAGCCAATCCTCACTGAAGTCTGCAGAAAAACTTCATTGGCTTCAGTAGGGGTTGGATGAGGACCTCACTGGGAATGCTGTTTTCCTGCTCTGCACTGATGTGCAATGAGAAGGGCTACAGAGATGCTCTAACAGATGGAACATGAGCTCTCCTAAGTCATTCCAGGCATTTATGGAAGTGTCTGCTGAGGAAACAGGCCTAAAAGAGTTGTACTTTCTGTTGTACTTTCACGTGGTTAATTTTTAAAAGTTCTCTAAGTGTCTGTTTCATTAGAACTGACCACACTTTGGCAACCACCAGTTAGACCAAGGAGTGCCAAACATCTTTACCTTAGTAAACTCTTCAGCTGATACATTGATGGATGAGAAGGTATATGGACTAGAGAGGCCTGTCTGACCAGTGTCAGCTGTATTATAAGCACCACAAAATAAAAAAGCAAGTACACAGTGGCTCTACAATATGAGGCAGTTTGATAGTAAACAAGTTATTGCTGTGTCCAGGTTGGGCTTGTCTTTCCTGCAGCTGTAGGGGAAGAAAGTGCTGTGATTTCCTTTGAAAAATAATCTAAATGTTTGTGTGGTTATGAAACTGAGACACATTGTGTTCTTGTTGCTTTAGCATGTAAATATATCTCTTTTTTCCCCCTTTTATACACTGTTAACAGATTTTTCCATATGAAATGCTCATGGTGACCAACAGAGGGCGAAATAAAATACTAAAAGATGTAGACAGAACCAGGCTGGAGGTAAGAGAAGCAAGTTCCTAAATGCTCTTTCCTGCTG